ACGCTCAATTCGCAGAATGAGGTTTGATTTTGACTCGACATTTTTGCTCTAAGAATGAAAATTGTTATTTTTTCATGCGTATTGAAAGATGTTTTACTGGTCTTTAAATATGAAAAATTGTGATACCTAATATTCAATATTCTAGCTTTTTTTTCTCTAGTCTGAACAGAAGGAAGTCTCTACATGTTTATATACAAAATCCTTCGGGTGAAAGATCAAAGTACGCATTATTTTAGAATAAAGCGCGATGCTCCTCACGTTCCACCGCCGATTTCGGGGTTCTCACAATAATATTAGACTCTGGGTTTAACTATTATTCGGATGAAACAGTGCTCAATTGTGTCCTAGTATGGTGAGAACATCCACGACAATTTATTTTTGGGTCCATAATTCGCCGGGGGTTTGTATCCGATTTCCATATTGAGACAATGCCTATGTTTCAAACAAGGTTGGTGGTTGTGTTACTATATGACTCTTATCAGGCTATCAAAAAATAAGGTTGCCGTTGTCAAAGTTAATTCGCGACCTGTGCGGCACCAATCATTTATGAGTCTCACAGCATGCACGCACGTACAACCTTAAAATGTAAAATTCATCACCATGCGGATTCTCAATGTACAGTATATACGATATACGATATGAATAAAGTTCTCCGGAAACAAGGCTCTACGATGCATGGATGAAGTCCAGCAACAAGGCACGTCCAGACAAGGATTTCGATGCCATGAAAGAAAAGTAATTTATTTCCAGCAACTAGTTTAGTCCTTACGTTGACAAAAGTTTATTCCGTGTAACCGTCCACGTTGATCGTGAAAAGGGGGAATAAGGACAGACAATTCCCCGCAAAGGTATAAGGAAAACACATTTTGTTTATGGACATTCACATCATCTGGCTGATTCTAAAAATAACCTATTTTGTCAATAAAGGATTTTCAGTTCCAAGTGGGCGTACAAAGGTCATCCACTTCCTAATATGGCTTGAATGTACTTTTTTTTCAAAATACGCTAGCAAAGCAAGAATGATAAAATCATAGATTAGAATTGTGTTGATTAAGAAAACTAAAGGGTGAACGTTTCATGAGGAAAATTCATATTGTTTTCCAAAATTTGATCATAACAGATTAGTTGAATTTCACAAATGGTTTTCTTAAAGAAAAATCAATTTCAAATCTCCTAAAATATGCACCAATTATAATTCCTTACAACTCAATTAAGGCAGCAAGTTTTAACGTTTACAGTCATGCTGACAGCTCGAACATAGTAGACGCACAATTTTACAGTTTGTTTAATGAATACCATATGTCAAAGTGGTTAATTAATATATGGATGTTTGTAGCATGTAATAACAATAATTGTTAAAGAATCTATTCTTGTGAAGACTGGTAATGTTTGGCCATCTCGTTTATTTACCATCTATTATTATTCATATAATCAAATAAACACCGTACTCATAAAATTTTATTAAAATTATAAAACAACAACTGCTAGTAATTTTCTTATTGTAAACCATGAAATATACAATTCTTTTTCAATAAATATTAAAATATTAAAATAATTAGAATTAATTGAGAATCGTTATTGCAATAAATCTAAAATTATTTACACACAATACCTTTTAATTTAATAAAAAATTGTTAATACAATAGTGGCAGTGTTTCTAGTTAAGTTTTTAAAATTTAATTCAAAAAATCTGTTTGAAAACCTAAATTTATAAAAATCTAATTTTAAATTTATCATAGGTTCCAATTACAGTATATGCATTTTCAAAAATATTATAATTTATAATTATATAAAAATTAAATCTGAAATCTGAAATTGATATCTTGTTAATCAAATCTGGATTTTTAGATTCTACATAAATAAACAAATTTTTAAATTTTTAATAAAATCAATTTTTATACCTCAATTAATTTTATTTTATCTTGACAATTTTAAAATTTTAAATAGTAATTTAAAATAAAAATAAATAAAAACATATGAATTGTACTTTAAAAAATTAAAAAATTATTATCAATATTAATTAATATTAAATATATATGTATATAATAGTGATTAAAATTTCTTAAACAAAAATAATTTTTACTTAATTAATTATATTTCAATAATTATTTAAAGAAATTAAATAAAAAATTGTTTTGTATATACAGTCTACCCTCTTTAATATCAACATAATAGAACTAGTTAATTTTGTTGATATATGTGGGGGTTGATATTATAAAGGTAAAGAATTAAATTAAAATAAACAAGTAATATATTATTTATATCAATAATTATAAAGTTTATAAAAATTTATAATATATTTTACTTCTTAATTTCTTATCAATTAAATATAAGTTTCTTAAATTTTTTAAATACAATATTTATTATAAATACTAATTAATTTTTGTCTTTTAAAATTTGATAAATAATATATATTGATTATTGAATAATTAGATTATTTTTTCTTTAAATAGATAATATAAAATTGTTTTTTTTATATATTTATTTAAAAGATTTTAACAATAAAATAGATTTATTATGATGAAAAAACAATTTATTATTGAATTAAAAAATAGAATAAACATAAAGATTTAAGTAACAAAATAAAATTTAAATAGCAAAGAAACATTATTTCAAAAAAAAGTTTGAATAATGAAAGATTATTACTTTAAAATAAAATCCAAACAATAAAAAATTATTTTAAAGCAAGATATTATAATTATAAATCTTATAAAAAAAAATAACAGTTATTTAAATTTAATAATAAATGAATAGCAATATTGAAACCAATAAAATAACTATTAAATTATATCTTTGTAAATTTTTTATATAATTATTAATACTTTTACTTACTAATAAGTATTAAATAAATCAATTAAAGTAAATAAGATTGGTTTTCTGATAAAATACATATTTGAAGTGTTTTTTAGCTTTTGAATTTAATTAATTTATTTATTTTCATTAATAAAAAATATTTAAGTGATTATAAAAATAAGTATGCAAAAAAAAATATTTTTTAAATATAATAGTAAAAGAATTAGTTAAATAATATAATAATAAAATTAATTAATAGTATAAAAAATCATATTACTACTTTAATAAAAGCTGAAAATATTTATGTCAAATTATAAGTAATTTATTATTATTTTAAAAGTTTCAAATTTTATATTAATACCTTACATTTGAAAAAAATCTGTTAATTTTTTTTGTTGTTTTTTCTCAAATACGTTTGAATAAATATGTCGCGAAAGACTTCGCAATGTTAACAAGTCTTGATTCTGAACAAACTTTATAGGATCTTGTTGTTCTACATATTGTAAAAGTAATTTGCACTGTTCAAAAGCTACAGAATGAGGAATTTTCTCAATTTCAATACTACTATCTTCATCACTATCGGAATCAGATATTTAAAGAATTTCTTCTATAATTGCTTTTTCATCAGTAACTACTTCTTCTGTCATAATATTATCATCGATATAAATATATTTATTAGCTTCCATTACTTGCATATAATTAGAAGAAATATTAGAAATAAGTTGCTCAATATTATTTTCTGGTCTTATACTTTCATGTTCTTTATATTTGAATTCTTTAATCCAATTCCAATCAACCAACGGTACGATTTCAGTTTTATGCCAACAATTAATAATTGTTTGAGAAGTTACATTTTTCCATGCCTCACAAGTAAACTCAATTGCTTCTTTAATATTAAGGCGGTGTATTTCATTTTTATTATCCATGGCTTCTAAAACACTTTGAAGATATAACTTTCGATAATGTGCTTTAAATGAGTTAATTATTCCGGTATCACATGATTGTAAATAGGGAGTAGTATTGGGTGGTAGAAAATAAACTTTCACATATTCCAATTCCTTATCGATTATATGAGAAGGAGCATTGTCAATTAAAAGAAGAATTTTTTTTTGCTTAATACGATTAATAGTATTTAGAGACTTTATCCAACGTCCAAAAATCTCGCTTGTCATCCATGTTTTCTTGTTGGCTTCGTATTTGGCATCAAGATTTTCTTTTCGAATATTTTTGAAACACTGAGGATTTGCTGACTTTCTGATAACTAATGGTTATAGTTTTTCTGTACCAATAGCATTGGTACAAAGCATAACAGTTATCCGCTCTTTATTCTTTTTTTTTCCTTTAACTGGTTTGGTTACAAGAGTTTGATTAGGCATCATCCAAAAAAAAAGACCAGTTTCATCAGCATTGTAAACATTCTTGGGTTGATATTGTGAGAGCAATTTGATCAATTTTTGTTTTTGATTGGGAAGATTTTCAACTGATACACTTTCAGATTCACTATGAATTTTAAACCACCGAATATCATGTCGTTTCTTAAACCTATCAATCCATCTATTGCTTGCCTTGAAGTCTGTTTCTGATATATTTAACAATTTAGCAAATTTTTTTGCTTGAAGTTGTAAAAGTCCATCTGTTAATATTAAATTTTGTAAAAA